TTTTTTTGCTCCCTACATGTAACGGTTGGGCCTTCCCCGGGCCCATGCTGCCCTCTTCCGGCACCGCCGGCTTTTTTTTACAACCCAAAGTTTGTAAACAAGAGTCACGTGCTTACGAGGGGGGTGGCAGGTCACACCATGCATATGTGTGTCCCCCCCGCATCCCTGGGGATGCTCAGGCGAAGAGTGGGGAGCGGGCAGCATCCTCCTGACGGAACTCTGCCTATATCCCGTAGGAACACGGGTCTACAGCCCACCGGAGTGGATCCGCTATGGCCGCTACCATGGCCACTCAGCGACCATCTGGTCCCTGGGTGTGCTGCTCTACAACATGGTCTGCGGAGACATCCCCTTCGAGCGCGACCATGACATCACCCGGGGTCGCCTCTTCTTCCGACGGCGGGTTTCTCTAGGTGGGTACCGAGCTTGGCGGCTGAGGGGGAATAATGGGTTTTGGGAGACGGCACCAGGCACATGAGCATCCCGCTCTTACGGCGATGGTTAATCTCCCGTGGTTAACTGGAGGAGGTGGCGCATGTCCTGCTGTCCAGCTCTCTTCCAAAATGGATAATCCATTGGGAGTTTTGGGCGCAGCTCTCAGCACAGCCAGCATGGCCTGAGCACTGCGGACGGTGCTACAAGATGGACAAGAGCCTTCTCCGACTGACGGGCGGTTTCTGATTTCTCTCTGCAGAGTGCCAACATCTCATCAGGTGGTGCTTGTCCATGCGCCCATCAGACAGGCCATCTTTAGAAGACATCTTCAACCACACTTGGCTGCAAGGCGCTCAGCTGCCCCAGGAGCCGGCAGAGATCCACCTGCACAGTTTGATCCAGGAGCCTGGGAAGTAACATCTCCGCGTGTCACCTGGCCACACGAAGCAAAGAAAGACCAGATTTTTTTTCTTCGTGACCATACCACCGAGGCAGGGATCATCAGATGGGACCACGCACATCTTGTCCAGGAGCTGGGTTGGAGATCTGGTCTTCCACGTGCAGGTGGCCAACATCACCATCCAACCCAGCTGTCCTGGACGCCATCTGAATGACCCTGCCTCATTTGATTTTTTGCCAGTAAAATTGTTTTGGTTTTGATTTTGGTTTTTTGACCTCGTTTTTGGAGGTTTCCAAGTGTCTTCTTCACCTGCTGAATTCGGGACCGCGAGAGGATCGGAGACCTTACTGCGAGAAAAGCTTCAACCGGGGCTTGTCTGGGGGGGGAGGGCAGGTACCGCAGCCGAATGGCTGTCTCTTCTCCGCTGTCACCGTGCTCGAGTGCCTTCAGTTGCGATCTGGGCTGTGCTGGAGGAAATACTTGAATTTTTTCTTACACTGCTGTTTTTCCAAGACTCGCCTGGGTATATATAGTTCCTTTTATCCTTTTTTAAAAAAAAAAAAACAGGTCAGAAGATGCTTGGGAGCCAAGCGGGTGATGCCTCGCCTCCTGTGCCTCCCATCTCGCGTGGATTTTTCTGGTGTTCTTTGCTTCCCTGTGCCCTCACGAATGCACAAACAATGCAAACCAACCGAGCTGTAAATGTGTACAAAGCTCTATAGGAGCAAAGCTTGATGTACAGTTGTTAATAGTGATAACATTTTACCTTTTTTCTTTTTTTTCCAGGTTTTGTTTTTAATTTATTTTCATGAATTTGTTTTTGTGGTTTTGGTTTTTGTTTTGGGTTTTGGTTTTTTTTGTTTTGTTTTGTTTTTTTTTTTACAGAAAGACTTCTAGCCGGTAGGATAACTTATTTATTTATTTATAATTCAGGTGGGTTTCCAACCCACGCCTTGCTTCTACAGCTGCTCATCCCCCCGGTTTTCCATTTGGGTTTTCCCTCCGTGTCTGTCCTGTGTCCCATCCCTGGGCCCGTAGTGTTTCTGTCGGATGTCTGGTGGAGGTGCGGAGCGGCTGCCTGCTCCCCAGCTGCCTCATCTACATAGTTCTGGTTGCTGTTGTTTCCTTGCCACGTGCAGATTTCAGTTTGCAGACTGAGATTTTGGTTTTCCCAACGGGTGTCTTGGCTGGGGCTGGGGAGGGGGGAGGCGGCCCGGGCTGTCCGTGCTGTTGAGTCTTTCCATGTAACCACGTGTGTAGCCAGCAGGTTGTTTTTGGTTTTTTTTTTGTTAATATTGTACAGGGGATTTCAGAAATCTTATTTTTTTTATGCGGTTTTAAATAAAAACAAACCACTTGATGTGATGGAGATGTCTCTTTCTTGCGGGGCGGGATGGAGGTGCTGCGAGCGTGTGGGGTACCAGTGACCCCAGCACGGGGACTGCAGGTTTGTCTCCAGCTGAGACTAACTCCAAAAGTCCGCCCAAAGGCTGGCTGAGCGGCGTTAACCAGGACCAGCCAGCCGAAAGCACCACGGGGAAGGCTGGATCCAGCCCTGGACTGGGTGTTACCAGCACCAACTGCTCCTGGCAGGTCTCCTGGGAGAGATCAAAGCGGGTGTGGAGCCCTTTTCGTTTCCATTCATCCGCAGGCTGGTGCAGAGCATGTGCTGGGGACGGCGAGTAAACAAAGATCAAAGCGACCTTACGAAATGCCGGATGTTGTCAGACAAATTAAATTTTGGTAAGGCAGATCCTGTTGCTCCAGCTCTTGTTGGCGTGGAGCGGGTGTTGCATGCCGGGTGCCGGTGGGTGAAGAAAGCCACGGGCGGGCTGTCCCCACCTCCAGCTCCGCTGCAGCGAACGCGGAGCGAGAGGAAGTTGATCTTCGGATTACGAGAAGTCGGTCGCTATCAGTCAGCAGCGGTAACGCTTTGCTCGAGCTTTTACCCTCCAAACTGTCAAACCCTACTTCCCAGCTCTGCAGCGCTTCAGCTTCAGGGTTGTTGGTTTTTTGGTTTGTGTTTTTTAGGGTTTTTTTGATTGGCTTTTTTTTTTTTTTTTAATTCATGTCCTGAATTTTTTAGCCCTGTTCCTGCTTCACCTCACAGAGCACCTGCTGCTGCGTGCACATGGGGCTGTGTTTGCTCCAAGGAACGGGCACATCTCCTTTTCTGCAGGTCACTTTGCAAGTCCCCTTGGCCAGATGTGACACAACAGGACTGTCCCTTCCTTGGCTTGCCCCACGGCTTTCTTCCTTAGACCTCCCTATGCCCAGGGAGAGGTCCCTTTCCCCAGCTCACCCCGGGCTTGCCAGCACCGCTCTCCGAGCCGTGAGGCTGTTGTCTGAGGGAACAGAGGGGTCCTGGAGCCACATCCCAGCCTTGTGGGGCGACCTGGTGCTGCTGTGTCACCACTGTGCCTCTGCCTTCGGCAGAAAGCGTTAACTTGGTTTGTTTGTTTTGCTTTTTTTTTTTGTTTCTTTTACTCAGCTGCATCTTTCATCTCCTCCTTGGGGCTGCTAGAAGCAGGAAACACAGCTCCAAACGCCTTCAAAGTTTAGACCTATTTTGAGATGTGGTTTGTATTTAAACCTCCTCTCTCGCTTTGCCCCCGGACCATCCGGGAAGCTGCTCTTACACGAAAGCAAACCTTCCTGCCACGCTGCCTGCTACCATGAGGAGCCCGAGCCCCTCGGGCAGCCACCATCCCCCCCCCCCTCCAGCACCACCGAAACGCTATCGCGACGGCCCCGGCTGCAGGCTGAGCTTGACCCACCCTTCCCGTAAACGCTTGCTAACTGCTGCGGTGTTTCTTAGAAAACTTGCCACAGAAAGGCCAAGCAAGTCGGGCATGGGGCTGGGGTGCTGATAGTCATGTTGTTTCCGCCTGTTGCTGCTGGATTTTGGCCCTGCCGGGCTTGTTGCTGCAGGAACGGTGCCATCATGTCCCCCATGATCCTGCTGCCCAGGTACCGTCTTGTCCTGCCAGGGCAGCTGGGTGCACCCAAGGTTTGGGTGTTGGAGAAGGATCGGTGCATGTCTGATCCCCTATGCACCAGCGCAGGTAACAACTTCACCAGGCCGAGAGCCACCAGATCCGTGTCCCAGACCTCTGCCACGGGGAAAGGACAGTGATAGATGCGATGGGAGACCCGAAGATGGGCAGCTGCAGCATTGGCTGCCCCTTGGTCCTTTCCATGACGTCCATCACCATTGCATCGTGGCATGGGGACTGCACACAGGGGCTGAAGGAAAGGAAAAGGCCTTTTTGTTTCAAATTTCTCCTCGGTGTGGGCATGTTCCCTGCCTTTCAGGGCCATCAGCTATGATAGGAGAGCATGAAGACGCAGGAGTTATCCAACAGAGCAATTCAGAGCTGGCATTGCTCTCCCAACCTCCCTTTCACAACTTTTTATTGCTCCCCAGCATCAGCTGGGGAAGTACCCACAATTCAGAAAGTGGAAAAAAAGGATGAAGCTGGACCAGGATGAGATTTCAGGCCATTGGACTTCCCGTTCTGGGAGCACTGGAGTCCTGTGGATGACTGAGGACTTGCAAAGGGCCAGCACTCATCACACCTGCGGCTCTCTGTACACATCCATCCCTAGCTGAGGCACTTGGTGATGCAGGAAGGACTGGCCTGGGGAGCCTGGAGCCACAGCAAAAGGGACATTTCTATTTTCCGCGTCCCTTTCTGGGAATGGGAGATGAGCAACAGCCAAACATCTGCCACGGCTGGAAAAACGCAGGCGAGCGCTGAGGAGAAAAGCTGCCCAGGGAACAGGGGCCAGGCTCACTGCAGGGATCCAAAGAGCTGGAGACATCTTACCCCGTGTCCTGTCACAAGGAAAACATCCATCTGCCCCCAAGGCAGCATCTGAAACCCTTTGGCCCTTCTCAACACAATGAGTCACAGGAGTTATTTTAAACACCTGCCTTAGGACGAGGCGAACAATCAGCAAACCAGGTGTCCCACGGCTCCAGCTCCCCGCTAATGAATCCTTGTGGAAGTCAGTCTCCGAATACTTTTTGCCAATGGCCTGTGTGGCAACAGCATCACCTCCACGGGGCATGTGGGGAAACTGAGGCACGGTGACCCAACTTGCTGGAGATCTTTTGCGGTGGAGCTTGGGCTTGCCTGCCTTTCCCTGCCCTATCCCTTCTTGGGCTGGGACCGGCCTCAGAGAAGCTCCCACCTTCATCCCTCCGATGTCCCCACATGCTCCAAGCAAGGGATTTAGTCTCCCAGGAGTCGAGACCAAAGCCCTGCACCCCTCTTAGCATGAACCTGGTGTGAAACCTGTCCCTTCCCAGACCTCCTCCAAAAAAAAACCCCCCGTCCTGTGACAGCGAGGGGGGCCAGGTGCTGGTTTCAGGCACCTGGTCCCCCACTCGAGACCGAGGTCTCATGTTTTTGGGGTTTACATCAACCTTCCCAAGAGTAGGATCTGATCTAACCCTGCCTCCGTGACACATCGAAACTGCACCACTCAGCCTGAGAGTTGGTGGGGGTTTTTATGAGGAAAAACCACTTTATTCACCGCAAAAAAAAACAACCACAAAACCTTTCCAGTGTGTAAAGTTGGGTCAAATTTAGCAGCTTCAGCTAAAGAAACATGTTTTTAAAAGGGGTAATCAGAGTGTTTTTTTCATCCTTTTCCAAGCTTTTGGTCCCCTTCCTCCAGGGTAATATTTTTGTGCCCTTAATCGCTGTGTTTATTACAGTTAGGAGGGGGTTAAGCGACCCGAAAAATGAAACAACAGCTCCTGTTTCAAACTGAAGCAGCCACTTCAGCTAACCTGAAATGACACACAGGCGCACGCCTGTGCATTCGAAGGGCGAGCGAGCTGCAGGGACGGAGATCTCACTCCGCTGCGAAAGCTCTGAGAAAAACAGAAGCAGTAGAATGTCATTTCAGGTCAACCCCTACCAAAATTCTTCATCTTCCCCCTCCTCCCCAAAATGGGCAGGCAGGGCTGGGCCCCCCTGGCAAATGTGTGCGGCCTCGTACGCCG